ATATATATATATATTAAAAGCACAAACAGTAGCTGCCACACTGATGCAACCATGCTTAGCTAGAAATACATTACTGTACCACTTGCTGTATAAATATACTGCATGTTTTTTAAACTTAGAAATCCAATGCTATAGTGAAATACACCTGAATATTATGCATACCCATTATGCTCAATTGACCATAGGGAAAGAAGAAGAAAGGAAACAAGATTTAACTGAGAAATACTGACAAAAAGTAGTGGTTGGTTAAATAAATCCTAATGGAGTAACATCACTGCTGTCGCAAGAAAATGTCGTTTGTGAACTTGTGAAGTTTCACCAGCTTTAAATTAAAATGTACAAGATCCTTAAGCGGCGTCATTTCCTCACTCTCATGCTAAAAACACCCACTTGATATCGGCTAAAATACAAGAGTCGCTTTAAAAACGGGGCCCAAACGTAGGCGCTTTTCTTCCGACAGCGGAATTATGCGATATTTTCTTGAGAATTAACATACTAGTGTACAAACATCTGGACTAAGAATACCTCAAACACTCGACCTTATTGTTTTATTTTTAATTAGGATATAAATTGCTTCTTCCTCCGTCTTGCACTACAAAGTCTAGGTACCTGTTACTTAGCATTAAATTATAGTAGTATAGTCAAGTTTCTTTTTTTTGTCTTATGTTGTGCAATATTTCCTCACAATGTTATTCAATACTCCAAAAAAAATTTGATATGTCTACTTTTCTTAGCAGTAACTGTAATAATTATTGAAAGGCGGCTGCATACGGAGCCTTGAATCCATATTTAGAGATTACAACAATATGCATTTGTTTATTTAACCCCCCCCAAAAAAGAAAATCAATTCAAAATGCTGATAAAATAATTACTGTACGTTAAAGTTGGAGGCATTCCCCTCTTATTTTATTGCAATATCAAACCACTTCATCCACATACCCGTGCGCTAAATGCTTTTTTTAAAAGACCAATCTACCCTCACAGGAATGTGAAGTTCTCCTTTGAGCTTTTTTCTTCTTGTAAATCCTGAAAAAATGCCACAGGCCTCACCTAAAAGTAAATCCCACCACGATCACGACTACCCCACACTGACGAGGACCAATACACAAAGACTTAAAGTGCCGCTATTACGTATCTGTGTTTAGATTTGCTTACATAGCCCAATGTTCTCACCGAATGGAGTCATTCTCTCCCTGAAAACACTGCCATGGAAATGCTTTGGCTGTAGCCCAGGCTCTTCTTGTGTTACATATCTATGTCACTATGTAACAGCCATAATCTTGGCCTAGAAACCAAGAAGTGAAAAAAAACACCCCACCTACTTGCCTATTATGACCTTTTTGTTGAGTTCTTGTACAAAATGATCAGTTTCTGCTGAATTACATTTGTCTCCACAACAATAATGAACCCTACATGTTTCATTTTAGCATGGCGCACAGGTATAAATATTTACTCGACCTGTATTGTATTTGACTGTAGACAAATTACCAATAAAGTTCTTCTTTCTAACATAAAAACACAAGAAGAAATGGGTGAAATAATTCCACAAAAACATCTAACAAGACTGTCATATTTTCAATTTCCTGACATTAAAGTTCAGAGAAGAGAAAATCTGGCTGAAGCTAAAAGTTTCTGTTAATATTTGATGGCTCTTAGAGGAGCATCCAGTTATGAATGTGACCAAGTTTGATTGTCAAACTCCTTTAAATCTGCATTCTATCTAAAGACCAGCAGATGGCGATAGCTGTGGCTGCAAAAACACTTGCGGTCCTATAGAAGTTCACGGGCTCATCAACTCACTTTGAGTCACACTGAACAAAAAAGTCTGTTCTGTAAATCTTGGTGATTTTATTTATTTATTTATTTTTTTAAATGATGATTATTTGCTTGCCCATGGGCTAATGACTTGCCAATCAAAAAACAATAAAATACAGTTTCCCAGTCAGACCCACGACTCCTTGTAACATCCATTCTTTTGCAAAATGGGGCTTAAACAAACATGAGACGTCACAGTATCCATCCATCTTTTATACAGTCTGGGTACAGTGAAGATTTCAAGAGCCAGGAGCCAAAACCGAGTGTTTCGGAGAGAGAATGACAAAGTTGCTGAAGCACTGTGGGAACTAATGTGTGACTAAAAACATGTTGTTGTTGTTTTTAATTTGTTTAACTTTAAAATCAATGAAGTGGAAAAAATAATTGTGAATACAAGCGTAACTGGGCACTTTAAGCTACATGACAAGGTACGGTATCATTCTGACATAAATCCTAAAAAGCCGTGCTGCAACATGGACCTTATGCTGAGCACATTATTAACAGACTGCGTCCAATCAGAAGGCTGTGATGTGCATAACATTTAGACGGATGGACTAGATTGAATTCTATTCATCTATCCAATGATATTTATCTGACACGCCCATTATTTAATAAAAAAATTCAATAGTCTGGGCTCTCATCTGCAGGCCGTTTGGTTATTAGTCCTCGTCTGGAAAATGGAAGGAGGAGGACGAGATGATATATTCACAGTGAGAAAAATCAATGTGCATCACATACAGCACAAAAGAGCCGTCTGTTTGTGCACCTCCTTGCAGGCGAGTAACAAACTTAACTCTCTTGTGCCTTAAGATGACAGCTGTGAATATGTCATCTTGTCTACTGTTCTCATTCCTTCCGGCTCTCCTCCGACATCACCACCGATCCCTTTAAACTCCATCACTGCTGGCTGTGTCTCCCATGCACACCCCAGAAATCCAT